TGTGTAAACCGGAGTGCAAGTTTTTTTATCGTGTACCATGTTGTCCACATTGCAGAAGGGCGAGCTGTAGCTACCGCAGCAGCAGCAGCGTTGGGTTCGAAGGTGCCTTTGTTTGCTTCAAGTTTTGGAAGAGCTGGTTCTGACAATGCATCTAGAGGATGGATTTCTGGAGCCCTTGCCATTCCTGCCGCAGGTATAGAGGAATATAACTTTATTTCAGTTTCCATTTACTCTTTTTGTCATGATATGATTTTTCTTTTTGTTTTTTAATCTGCTTTTAGTGCTGTTCATGCATATCTGGTCTCCTAATGCAATTATTCTAATTGTCTAATCGTGTTTTTGAGATTGTTAGATTATGTTTCAAAAGTGTGATATAAACATTTTAGAAGGACATGATGGTATTAGATGTTAGAATACAGTACATTATCTTTGATGTCGATAAGTTTGGGTCCAAATGAAGAGGGGCCTTGTCCCTTGCCCAAGTTTTAGCATTGTGGCTTCCGGATCCTCTTCAACAATAATCATACTGTGCTTAAGCATGGTAATGGGTTGGAATTGTATCGCTTGGGATGTTTTCTTGACTTGACTCTGTTCCTTAATTTCTTCCAACCGGACACTATACATGAACCCCGAAAGATATGTTACCTACCGTCAAACCTCTGCACTAATCAAATTCTATGTAGTCCTATTTATGTTTATGGGTTCGTCTCTCTCTACTTCCCCTTCCTGTCTTCTTGTCTCTCTTGCATGCACATGCACATCCACACTTGAAAAGCTTTCGTGCATTTTCTGGTATTAAAGTTACTAGACAAAATCTTTGTAATAGCATGGCCAGTATGATTCTTTTAATTTCAGTCTCTACAAACTAAATCCTAACACATCCTTGCTTTCTTTTCTCTGATTTCTCTAGCTTACATGCTCGTCGACCAGGAGGTTCATGCTGCAGAGGTGCTTTGAATACCTTCTGTGCCATTTTTTCTCACTGTTAAGTGTTAATACATCTTTCCATTCTATTTATTTACAAGTTTTTCATTCTCTAATCAGTTGGAACGCACCTTCATTGCTATCAAGCCAGATGGAGTTCAAAGAGGACTGGTAAGTTAACTGTTTGACCTAAGATTGTTCCCTGAAGCATGTGCTATGGCTTCCATGACTTGTTTTATACCTTTTTTGTGCTAAGCCTTTTTTTTCATTGATTCCAGATTGCAGAAATCATATCTCGATTTGAGCGGAAAGGTTTTAAACTTGTAGGCATTAAAGTGGTTGTTCCTACAAAGGATTTTGCGCAAAAGCATTATCATGATCTGAAGGAGAGGCCATTCTTTAGTGGCCTCTGTGACTTCCTTAGTTCCGGCCCTGTTATTGCAATGGTTTGTAGGACTAATCATATGCTTGGATATGACAATATCCTTTCATCTGGCGAATCTCATAATCCTAACTCTTGCAGGTCTGGGAAGGAGAGGGTGTGATCAAGTATGGTAGAAAACTTATTGGAGCTACAGACCCCCAAAAATCAGAACCTGGAACTATCAGAGGCGATCTAGCTGTTGTTGTCGGAAGGTAATAGCTCGATCTTGAGTTTTTGATAATTTTATTGCATTACTACTTCACTTCTCAAACTAAATTCAGTTACCTTTTATCTTCTATTTAGTATTCAATCTCTCTGTATTGTTTACTCCAATTCTAACTTCGATGCCACAATGTCGTGCAGAAACATCATCCACGGCAGCGATGGTCCAGAGACTGCCAAGGACGAAATCAACTTGTGGTTTACACCAAGTGAGTTGGTTAGTTACACCAGCAACCAAGAGAAGTGGATCTATGGAGTCAACTAATCAAAGTTTTTGTTTTCCTTGATTTTCCGGCAATGTAGGTCGCCCACATGAAGAGTGGGGTGAAAGTTGAGATTATTGTTAGAATAAAATTAAATTCCATTTGGGGTGAGTGAAATCTTTTGCTACTGTTTAGTACTCAATAAAACTCTTCACCGATTTCTAATAATCATTTACGTCAGTTTTGATTTGTAACTGCGGAGATTTGTATTATTTGATTTACTGCTTCACTTTCGCCGAGTTGATGTTGCTTAAGATTTCACTCACCAAATCTTTAGCACAAAGACTTGCATTGACTAAGAAGCACAACCGTCGGATGAGAGTGTTCGCATTGGCCACGATAAAGGTTCACGGCAAGTGCAGAGTCAATCCCAAAGAACACATTCTCAACACGAAGGCTGTGAGCAAAACAACGCCCATAGCTCAGCCGCCATCAGAATCGCGGCTAATTCCTTCGATGGCAATTGCACCAGACCAGAAGAGCCATTAATATTGTGCTTGACGGACTCTATTAATTAAGCATGATATGAAGAACAATTTATATTTTGATTATATTGGTAAGTAACACATTAGCAGGGAAAAAAAAAATGATTAGCCTGGGCCTATTCATATGATTGGAATTTTCCTTCACTTCCTAGGAAAAAGCCATAGGGTTTTTGGCATAGTTGGATAGTTTGAAACTAGGGTTTAATCTCTTTCTTCATCCCTACGCAATCGTCTTCCATTTCCCTTGAACCTAGCGATTTCCTGCCTTCAATATCGTCTTCCATTTCACTTGATTGCATGAAACATTCACCGCCATGCATAAACCCCAACTTCTAGGCATTTTGAATTTCAGATTCTGCTTAAATTGTGTTCGCATTGTTTTATATATTATAGTTGTTGTGATTGTGTGAGAAACCAAAGAAAAATAAGCAAAATTAGGGTTTTTCCACCCTGACACGCGCGAGCCACGGCCTAAAGCCGTCTGAGCCTCGCCGCTGGAGCCATACAGCTCCCATCTGAAACCCAGAACGACGTCGTTTTGCGTCGTCCCTAGCCTCGGACACAGGCCACCTCCTGGGCTTTGCCCGCGGTCGAACCCAGCCCCTTAGTTCATGTTTTCTTGTGAAACCTTGCGGCCCCAACGACCTGTAGTCGTCCCCGACGAAATCCCAGTCAACCGCGACGACGTGGTCGAGATTTCGAACCATAATCTCACCAGATTTTTCAAGATTCATTTCAACTCTCCTAGGTTTTCAACCATAGTCACGAGCTCGATGCTCACCGCCAACCACCTCAATATTATTGAGCACGTGGATCGTCGCCAGGCTCTGAGCACAGCCCTGGTGCACCTACAGAGCACCCCTAGCCATCCACTACAACCCCTGATGCCAAGAAATCTATCTCTGTCGCAACCTAGAGTTCCAGGTGAACTCCATAACTCGCCTCAACCACCTTGAACCGAGATCACTTCATGCATCCATGTTGGTTCGCCCGAGACCCATCTCGATTCAATCTATTATTCTACACAACAATTATAACTGGATATGAGCCCGAAATCTCACATTTGTGCATTTTTTATTGTGCGGTCTACGTGCCAATTGTATCACCCTTACGTATAAACATGGGTTATTAACCAAGATAATTTTTCTACCGTTGAAGGGAAATAAAAACGTCAAGATTCATGTAGAACAACATGACGAATCTCAATATATCTCATTTAGATCTCTGCACTATAATTTGAAACTGAAGTGCGACGTATTCTAGATCTTCAAAACGTTACTTAAAACATATCGGATGCTTTTATTGATCTAACAGCGTCAGCCATCACCACCAATTGACTTATCTTTTTTCCTTAAATTGAAGCAGATCGAGCGGGGTTGCTCATGGCGGATGTGCATGCAAGGAAGGTGGAGGATTGGAGATAGGGAAGAAAACTTATGTTTGGGGGGATTATGAGATGGAGGCTGCGGATTGGGATAATGGATGAGGAAGGAGAACTTAGGGTTGCAAAATTAAATTGGATTCTTGGGCTTTCGTTTTATTTCAGTTATTGGGCTTAGAGAGGAATAGACTAAGACCTGATTTGGTACTGAGGTGATTCTGAAAAAAAGCTGCTATCAAAAAAAGCTGGGAGCTGTTTTTGTGTTTGGTAAACACTCAGCTTTAGCTTTTTTTCACAGTTTTGGATGAAAAAAAGCCAAAAACAAGAAGCTGCAAAACCCAGCTTTGAAAAACCGGCTTTTTTTCACATCTGTTTTACATAAAAGTTTACCAAACACTCTAATACTGCTTTTTTTTTTTTTTTTTTTTTTTTTGAAAAGCACTTTTACAAAAAAGTTTACCAAACACTCTGCTGTTTTATTTCACAGCTGCTTATTCTCACAGCACAGCAGAAGCAGTTTTTTTTCGAAGCACAGCAATACCAAACCAACCCTAAAAGGTTTGGGCCTAGGAAATGCAAGTCAGGTCCGATAGTTATGTAAAATTATAGTATAAATTAATTTATATTAAAACCAGTCTGGTTCGGTTCAAACCGGTTATTGAGAAGTAAGAACTAGAACCAAATTGATCTATTTGGTTCCATTCAGTTTCTGAACTGGTTTTGGCTTTTTTCGTAAACACGATTTTTTACCTTTTTTAACAGGTTCAATTTGGTTTTCTGGTTCGACTGTTTTTATGTCGATCTCTACTTTGTGTATCTTCATAAGACCTAACCCTAACCCTAATTCCGATCAAACCCCACGATTGACAATTGATGATCGAATCTATGTTCTCTAATCTTTATTCTATTCAAGAACTATCGTGGAAAGGATTCCAATTATTGTTCCTATTTTCAAAGTTTTCCAACCCTTGTTTTCTTTCTAACGTTGAATTGATTTATTGCCGTTTTTCAACTAAAGTTTTGCAAAATTCTCCGTCTGGCCTATGAGAACTTGAGGGAAGGCAATTGATATTTTTACATGTCAACTATGTTATGGTTTTGCTTCACTACTTACCATCAAGAACATTGTACAAAGACCAAAGACCAAATAGATGTTGATTTAGCGGTGTACGGACATCCTTAGTTCGAATCCCCTTTCCCCGTTGATTAGATGACCCTAAATTAAAAACATTGGAAAGCTAAATGATTGATGTTTAATAACACTAATTGTTAAGATTTCAATTCGTATATGTACATAAACATTGACCATCATAAGAAAGTTTAATAAAAATAATTTACTAAATAGTAGTGGAATTAATGCTAAGTTCGCGGAGGAACTTGAAAAAGAGGAGGCTCATCAGCGGTAGTTGCAAGTGCTGCTCTTTTCCCCTGAAGCAAGAGCCGGATTTCCAAAATTATTTGGGACAAAACGAAAGTAGAAAAGGCGCACAAAAAAAATATCTTAAAAGGTTTCCCTCCATTTCCATAAAAGAGACCAATGAAAATATTGACAAGAGCAAGCACGACCACCAATCTCCCTACCCATCGATGGATCTTGTTCCAGTACTTACTGACCTTGGAGGTCCTGGATGGCCTCATGATAAACTGGCATATCTGTGATCACAACTACCGAAGTCAAATTTAAGAACTCAAATAAAAAAGTTCAGAGAAAGGAGCACCACATAACAGAATTATGATAGAATGACCATATATATTAATATGCGACACCCATTTTCAGATACTACATTGATCGATTTTCAATTTCAGAAATCATCTTGATGTGGTGAGTCAATTTCAGAAACTATTTGCGATAAAAACCCTTTCTATCATTGAGTTTTGGAAATCATAGAAAAGTATGGTTTGATGATGGATTTTCAAATAAGAAGTTGTGCATGCACCAGACCTTTTTGAGCGGTAGTTAATTAACATTCAAAGTATCGATAGACACGTCAGACACACTCATTTTGAAGGATCAAGTGCGAAACGCATGCAAATTTTCAGACTAAAAAATGCATGAAGTTCATCATATGGGACACAATGTAACAAAATTTTAATTGAGGCAACACGTGAGATTAAGAATTAAAGAAAGGATGACCTGAAGAACACTGAGTGCAAGCACAATGTACCCTATGGATCTGTGGCTGTTAAAGTCAGCATGTACTAGTTCATATAGTGTCCTTCCAACAGCCACACCAGAAAGCCCCACAAAGAAACCTATAAACTGAACTGATGAATGAAGGTAGTACCACAAAGGCTCATACTCCCTAAGATATCTGGCCATTGATGCTCCGAATGGAATTATTATGCCCCATCCAATAATAGTTAGTATTCCATGGGTCATCTTCACTTTCCTGCTGTCTACATACCCTATACGAATGACTCCTGCATCCAGCAGAGACCAAATAATTAGAACACATATATCGTTTTTTATACACGTACAACGATATATTTACACTAAGAGGTGGGCGGATTTGGCCTAAACCACATAATGAGTCAATCTTAATAATTGAGTATCAATTTTAACTTGCCATTTATGAAAGTCAATCACACAGTGTACAACGCTATACTGTAGTGCTAAGTAGCATATATATTGCTAATTTACTGCAAATTCTAGCATATCGATTAATCAAAGACCATGTTTAAGAACCCAAATAACCTAATAAAAGCAAAACTGCAGGCTATCACTAGACCTCAAAAGCTAAAGTTGTTAGAAAATGAGTCAATCATGTGCAGGCTATCGTGGCGAATGAAAGAAACGTAGAAATAGTGAAACATATATTTTGCAAATCGAAGGCTCCATTTTTCACCTCCTCTTTACCGAAAAGCTTAAACTGTTAGAAAATGAGTAAATAACATGAGAAAATAAATCAACTTATGAACCAACCTTTAGGGAAATCAACTAACAAGGCGCTTCTATATTTATGCGTTGGTAGGATGTTGTTAGCACCAGGCTTTCCATACCCGGCAGCAAACAGAAAGGGTTGACGATCAAGACGACTGGAAAATTGGAGTTGAAACCCTAGATAAATGATTTGGTCCTTGACAACAATGGTGGGTGTAACATTAGTGAATTTCAATTCACCTTTATCTGGTATGCTTTCATCATTCCTCGTACGTCCTTTCAAATAATATTGCTTTACTGTGCCCGATCTGCCGTCTCTGTTCATCCATCCCACCACGGCACTCGAACCGACCATCATGCCGTCCTTTGACACCCCGACTCCGACCCAACTGTTCTCGTTCATTCCCGACAGTACAACAGTAAGAACAGCGTTATTGTCCTGAAAGAACTGTTATATCACATCATGTCATGGTCATATCACGCCATATAAAAACGTAATTAGTCAATGAAGAAATTGGGTTTAGTTCATAATCGAGAATATACGATCGCTTACACTAATACGGTAGCCGTGCCAATCGAGGGATGAACAGATGGATTTCGGTATATCATGGTAGGGTGGCTGGAGAACATTTAAACGTGTTGTGCAAAAATTAGGCAGTACTACGATATCATTCCGACCAGCATTGACCAATCTCTTATTTGGCTCTAATAAAAATATCATCATCGTGATCATGAAAACATAGCACAACATTATCAAGGAATTTGATGAATTCCCCATCATAACCATATGACCATATGATCTACAACAAGAAGAAAGAAGCTAGCTAATAGCTAAAAATAATTTATCTTAATCTTTGAAGTTGCATGTTGATCACGATGATCCCCTTCGATGTTTCTTGATTTGCACGTAAATATTAAAAATAAACCCTCCATAAAAGAAAGAAGTAGAAAGAAAAGAAAGAAAGAGGAGAAGCTTATACTTTTTTTTTTGTTACAAAATAAAAATTCATGATATTGGAATTGAATTAGGGTTTATCATGAGGGTGTGGAAAAGAACAAAATGATGGGGTATTTCCTAGGGTTTGAATTCTAACATGCATGGCCATGAAGAAGGTGATGGATGGTTCCCGCCATTTTTCTTTCCAATGGCCACTCAATCGTCTGGTGCTCTTTTTTATGACCACAAATTCTGAGAACCTGGAGAGATATAGAGAGTAGAGAAGAGGTCAACGAGGTCTCTGCATCGTACTTGCATATACAATTCCCTCTCCACATTTAATTTAGTAGTTCCTCCTCCTAATAATAATCAAAATATATGATCATTATTCTAACTTATAACAACCTAGCTAGCTCTTCTGGTTTACACAAAGGCCATTGAAATCCAAAGTCCAAACGCAAATTTAGGGATAAAACACAAAGACACTCATAAAAAAACTAAATATCTATAAGCTTTTGTAAATAATCTAACACTTGAAAACGCGAGAACTCAACTTATTTGTTAACTACATGAATATATGATAAGACAATGTTAGAAATTTTGTGTCAAATCCAATCAATAGATGACTTAAACTTAATGTTACTATTTTAAAAATACCTGCCTAGCGCCGTCTAAGCCTTGCCTAGGCGCTAAACGGTTATTCATCGTCATGATTAATCCCTAGGCGTTCAACATTAAGAAAGGGTGCCTAGACAGGTCTAAGTGCCCAACAAGACCGCCTAGGCGCCCGCCTAACCCGCCCAAACCTGCCTAGGTTGCGACTCTCACTTAAACAAAAAATCGATAACTTTCATTTTTGCATTTTATTTTTTTCAATAAATTACAAGAGACTTATTTAATACTTAGATGAACACACATTATACGTTTGTTCTCCATTTTTTCATTATGTTCTAATATTTTATAAGGGACACTTTGGATACAGTCCTTAACTATCAATATTCTTTGATTGAAACCTTGTTTGTTTTCAATTTTTGATCGAAGTCCTTGAAATTAATGTGATAATGTATTTCTATGTAGGTTACCATATTTGTTTTAATTAAAAATTGAAATTTATAGTTGTTTGTATTAATGAGATTTTAAATAATAAAAAAACCCATAATTTGTGGATTAAAATTATTAAAATATAAATTATACTCTCCAATATATTGTGTGTGTGTGTGTGTGTGTAAACACGGGTACAATCATTAAATTAACAAAAAATTATTGTACCAAAATATGGGTACATTCTTCAAAACCACACAAAAAATAAAAGATATTAGGCTTAATAACATTAGTAAATTTCTTTGATTAAACTTCACATGGATACATTCTCAAATCAAGAAAAAGAATGTACCCATATAAGTTTAAAAATGAATTAGAAAAAAAAATTGAATAGATTTTACATATAATCTATATATCATTCTATTTTACAATTTATTTATCCCAATGCAATTCTGTATGTTTTAAGTATAAGCAAGAATTTATTTGTACTAAATATGTAAAATAAATATACTTAAATCTGCTTAGTCCACCTAGGTGCCTTGGCGCTAAGCCCCATTCCCCCACCCGACTAGCGCCTAGCGTCTTTTAGAACCTTGCTTAATGTTGTTACTAAATTTGGGACCATGTACCATCATCAAAGTTCTTCTACTCAACATGTCACGTGTTACGTCCAACTTTGTGAGACAACCACTAGTCTCAAAAACTTAATTTATCAAGGAAGATGCTAACAACATATTTTAAGATTGCACATTCTCTGATGTAAATCCTCAAATTGATTACATAGATTTTCCTCTCCCTTTATATGCACGGGGGGAGTAAACAGGTCTTTGTGAATTGTGATTAATCAATTTGATGAAGAGTTGTACGTGCATTATTAATTAGGAAAACTAACGAAAAATCTAAAAAACACTTCAGTTTTAATGAAAAATAACAAATAAAGGTGTAATGAATAGTACCAGGAAAAGGTAAAAATGTGGTTTTTCGTTAAAAGTGAACAGTACCGAGAGTGTTTCATTAAAACTTTGTATTATTAATGGGCCAATAACAAGCCAGCCATGTTTGTCGTAATGCACATTGCATAGTACATCTTAGCTTTCAAACTATTATTCTAACATCATACAATTGTATTGCATTTTACTATCTCAACTTTTGGTCACATAACAAACTTATATCTTATCTTTTGAACATTGCAATATCATACATCAACTTGTATATTTGTTGCAATCTCAGACTTCCGCTAATTAATCTATTAATTTGACTATTAATGATGATCTATCAAATGTGGGAAATGTCAGGGCATCAACAAGTTTAGTAATACGGAGCAGTGGTGTGGCGTCGGGTCAGGCTGCTGTTGTTTCTTGAAGAACAAATTCGGGTCTGGTGGTGCGACTGCGACTTTGGTGACTTTCAAGCGAGCGACAGATGTTGTTGGTCTGGTGACTAGTGGTGGCCTTGGTGGGTCAAATCGTAGTGGTGGTGGCGGGGAAGAAGCAAGTGGGTTCAGGTCAAGCAGATTACGGGTCATGATCTCATGGGTCTAGTGGCGGTTCAATGGTGCAAGGGTGCAGAGGTTCAACGAAAGAACAACGGTGGTGCAGTGTGGATGATTCGATTGGTATGAGCAGGTTGGTGCGGCTGTAAGAGCATCCTCAATGAGGGGCTCTATATGGGGTTGGAAAAGTGATGGATATAGCCTATTTTAGAGCTCCAATGAATCTTTATGGCTTTATAAAAGAATCACTTTAAATGAGGGGCTATATCTTTTGGACTCTATATGGGTCTGTATATATTTATTTATATAGTAATTTGATTAAGTGATGATTTTTTTTTTTTTTTTTTTTGTGTTAGCTTTTCAACCTAAAAAGTTCAAATTGTGACAAAGTTAGATTTCATCACTTATAAATCATTCGTTAGATTAGATTCTCTTATCTCAATCTCATCCTTTGAAAGAAGCAAATTCCCACTTTGCCCTCTGAAATAATTTAATTTTCACGTATAACACAACAATTTACCTAGCACCAATTGGTAAATTAGTATCATACAATTTTGAAAAAAAATATTTGAAAATTTCACCCACCAATGCCCATGAATGTTAAATCAATTTGAAATTTTAATTCTTATGGAATTTAAAAAAAAATCATTAGCCAAATTGCGAGAAAAAAAAAGTAAGAAAAAAGAATTTGAAAAATAAAATAAAAGGAGAGTATAAGCGTATTCGCAAGTAGAGGGAGAGTGATAGAATTTTGCTCATATAGGTTGCTACTTTTTGTTGGACCCATTATTTTTTGGGGCTAGATGTAGCCCGATTTATACTACCCAAGAAAGGAAGTTGCTTGCCCCAGTGACGAATTTAGCCCCATATTCCAACTCATTGGGGATGAAATTCTCCCTAAAGCTTGAAATGTAGTAGCCTCATAAAGGATAGAGCCCCCATTAGGAATGCTCTAAGCTGATGCTTCAAAATATTTTTCTTTAACTAAATCTCAACAAAATTGATACCAATCAAATGAAATTGGCACCAAATGATACAATTTAATTTGCTTGGGTGGAGGGATAGAAAGGAAGATGGAGATAGAGAGGAGTGAAAGGGTTAACACACTCGGGTTGGGGGCTACTAATGTTAAGTCTTTTGAATATAATTTAAAGGTTGTATGTTATTTTCATAATGTCATATAATTTTAATTAGTTGTTTGTCCACATGGCGTAAATTTGACATCACATCAGTAAAAACGTACGAACCGAAGTTGACACATTATCACTTAGCGGCCAAATTATTGACTAACGAGGTCTGACATTGCAAGGAATTCGTAAGTTGATGTATGACATTACAATATTGAAAAGATAAAGTACGAATTTTTTTATGTGATCCAAAGTTGAGAATGCAAAAGAATAATACTTGACTAATTAAATGATGAGTACGAGTTTCTACTCAAAATTGTTCGTTGCAGATTTATAAAACTTTGTGTTTATGATTAGAACCATTCATATTATAAATCACTTTAAAAATCGCCTCCACAAAAAGAAACCAAATAAAACTAAAGTTGTTTAGTTACTAAATTGTATAAAAACAGATAAATGGAATTGGTAAAAGCAAACCGTTTATGTATTTGCTACAATAAATTCACTAAACGATATTAGTTTTAATTCATTTTTTACAAAGACAATCTTTATAGAGTAATTCATAATTTGAACGGTTCTAATGATAAGCCCAAATCTTTGTAATAACAAGCAGAAGTTTGAATAACAAATCCTTCTCATTCTTAAGTAACTAAATATTATTTAATGCAAAATATAATTTACCATATCTCGACGTCACGAAGGTCAGAAATACGGGAGAAAGATAGCAGCTTTGATAGATTTTTCTGTCGGTTAAACGCGTACGTTGAATTATCTGGCATGACAACGTAATATCATGCTGATAGTAGACAATGAAGGGCCCAAGTGGCCTTAGGCACCAAGTTTCCGTGAATGGCGCACTTTGAGGCTTCTTTCTTTCTTTTCTTTTTTTTTTTTTTTTTTTTTTTTTTTTAAGAGAGGGACAACTGTGGTAAATCATGATTATCCACTTCTTCCAGATCCAGAGAGGTTATGGGGAATTTTACTCTGCCTGTGGCCATAGTCAAGCAAACTCACCAGCTCGGAGCATCGAACCTAAGAACTCTCATATTTTATTTTATTTTATTGGAAAGTCGCAGTTCACGCCCTTACTAGTTGGAGGCTTTTCAATTCATAGTTTTGAAAAACAATTCCATATATAAAATCATGTTCTCTAATTTCTATTTGTAAAATTTTGTTTATTTTTATAAACAAACCTTTATTTTTAAGCACGTCCCTGCACATCGAATCCTAACTC